CTGCCTTGTTCTTCATCTTGTTTTAGTTCATAGTAAGCATGTGGCTCTGTCTGGCACTGGCCGTCATCCTGTTCTTTGTGATCCGATGGTATCGGGAGAGTCAAACTGTGGAAAACCTGAGAGAAAAATATGTCTTCATCACTGGTTGTGACTCTGGCTTTGGGAACCAGCTGGCCAGGCAGCTGGATCTCGAGGGCCTGAGGGTGTTGGCCGCCTGCCTTACCGAGAAGGGGGCAAAGGAGCTGCAGAGGGTCTCGACTGATCGGCTGCAAACCACTATTTTGGACGTCACCAGCACAGAGAGCATTGTGGCAGCAACCGAATGGGTGAAATCATGTGTCGGGGACAAAGGTACCGTAGACTCCTGTCATTCTTTCCGTATCTTCAGACTGTAGGGCATAAGATAGAATTCATTTAGGAGAAGCAAGCAGGCAGGCAGGCAGGAAAGCAGGGTCCGAAACATTTGTGGCACAAGTGTGCCATATATGCTTCTTAGTAATGTGCCAACAAATCAATTCTGACTTACGATGACCCTTTTCATGGTTTTCTAGGTACTGTAGAGGGTCCTCAGAAGAAGCTTATCATTCTCTCCTTCTGGAGGTATCCGGGGACTGCACAATTTAATTATTTAGGCTACACTTTGCTTCCCTCCCTCCCTCGCAGAGAGCTGGGTACTCAGAAGGATGGAAGTTCAAGTCCACCTTGAATCAGCTGCCTGACTTTGCTGGGATCAAATGCAACTCAAGAGCAGAGTTTTGTTTGCAATACAGTACTGTATTTTAATCACTGCACCACAAAAGTATCATTTGTATTATTCAGGACAGTATTTTTTAGATATTACAAGGAGCAATCTGTACAAGGTGGTAGATCCTTACTTCCCAAATCTCAGTAGATACTCCTTCCTGGTCTTTATGTCTGTACAACACAAGGGCACTACTTCTGTCTCAGTAGCCTAGTTCTTAATGTGGCCAGCTGCCCAAAGCTTGGACTACAATTCCCAGAATCCTCTGGTAAGAATACTGTCCATATTGTCCCAGAGGATTCTGGGAACTGTAAGTGGAAAACGTGACATCTCCCAGATTTGGAATAGCAAGGAGGTAGTTATGAGAGTCAAAACAGGGCAGAAAATTACCTGTTACATGACTGACATACTTAATTTCTGTCTGTCTCTCTGTTTCAGAGAAGGAAAGAGGCAGGTGTGGGATTACTGTTCTTTAGAGTTCAAAATAATTTGGTTATCCATGATCTGTAGTAGTCACTACTGCAATCCTGAAAAAAACACTTTGAGTACATATTTATAGGATCTTGGTGCAATAATAATAATTGTATTCTATCCAGTCAATTCCAACTTTTCCTAGACAGAGACTACTCACACATTGTTTGTTACACTCTTCTTCTTGGGACATCTTGGGACTGTGCTGTTTGCCCAAGGCTATGCAGGCTGGCTTTTTCCTCAGTGAGCACAGGAGGGAATCGAACTCCTGACCCAGGTACTCCAGATCACTGAGTTGTCCAGTCAACTGAGATTGTGCTGAAGGCTTCTCCCATTCAGTACTGAATGAAGATATTTCTCACAAATAGTGGGGCTCCCTCCCCAAATGTTGGTAGAGTAACATGTCTGCTTACGTATGTAGAGTCTGAAAAATGTTGGTAGAGTAACATGTCTGCTTACATATGTAGAGCTTGAACCTTACTTCAGCCATGTCACTGTGGCAAGTATCCTGTTGTCTAAATGTGGAGTAAAAGAAGTCACAAAAGTGTCTCCCATGTTCGATCTTCCCCTTGCCTCACAGATTAAGTTTCCAGACCTTGGAGAACTGCCAGCCTAATAAATTTGTTATTATAATTATTCCTTTCCTTGTTTAGATTCCAGGCTCTGCATACAGTATGTGCTAGTGTTTTCCTTGTTTAGATTCCAGGCTCTGCATATGTGCTAGTGCTGCCCTATTTTATTTGCCTGACTTGGTTGTCTTTTCTCTACAGGACTCTGGGGCTTGGTAAACAATGCTGGTGTTGCGCACCCCACTGCTCCCAATGAATGGCTGACTAAAGATGACTTTGTTAAAATACTGAATGTCAATCTTATTGGGTTGATTGATGTGACGCTACACATGCTGCCCCTGGTGAAGAAGGCCAGGGGAAGGGTCGTCAACGTGGCCAGTATCTTTGGCCGACTGTCTTTCCTTGGAGGAGGCTATTGTCCCTCTAAGTATGGGGTAGAGGCCTTTTCTGACTCTCTGAGGTAATCTCTTACTACTTTTAATTTCAGACTCAACAAATTGCTATGAATTACACAAATACCTTTGAAGTCAAAGGTAGGATAAATCAGGTAGTGCTATTTTGGTGAGTGATTTTATTAACATATTTGAGAAAGAGTGGGACTTTTAAAAACCTGACATGGGGGAAAATCCCAGTAATTAGTTATCTGCTCAGCGCCTTGGTTCCAAGACAAGATTCAACTTTTGCAACATATTTCGACTGAATTGAGGCCTATGTCTACTTCACAACCTAGAAAAAGGTCTCTGCAGATGGAGAGGGAGGGAGACAAAATGGGATTTCTGTGTCTAAGCTCGGTCTCCTCATCTGAAAAGAAAGAAATTCTAGAGCTGTAAATAATTCAGAAAAGGGTAACCCAATGGATCAGTAGGTGGAAAATTTCTTCTGCAACGAAAGGTTACAAGTAATTTTGGGACAGAGTGCTTAGAAATACTGTACAGGTGAATAAGCAGTGCTTTTAAAAAGTAGATGAAATAATGCACGGTGTGAAGGAAGTGGGCAATACATTTTACTACTTTTCTATAGTAATACTAGAACACAAAGTCATCTACAGATGGTGGAAAATAAGAGAGAAGTAAAAGAAGTACTCTTTCACAGCACATGGCTGGACTAACAAATGCTCTGACGTCAGACAGAGTGATGATTGTCAATTGGAATGGCTTTGCAAGGGACTATGTAGCCTTATGGAGACTAGGAACACCAGTGACCACTAATCCTGATGGCTATAGGTTTGCCTCCAGTTTCTCAAAAGCGGTATGTTTTTGTGTTTCTCTTGCTGTGGGAACACAAGACGCAGGGGGAAGATGCTCTCACATTCCATCGTTGGGCTTCCTAGAGGTATCTGGTTGGTTATTTTCCTTCCTTTGAAAAACAAAACAGAAAGATAAAGGAATGTGCACTGGGGAGTTAGTTCACTTGGAACTAAGGGGAGATGAGAGAAAATAAACAGTTGAAAAAAAGCACAAGAACCAAATTATAATAGGGTTTGGGGTTGAAATGGGGGGAGCTCTCATATCAGATTTGCTGTAAAATAGCATCGTTTTCTTGAAATATGTGTGGTGTACTAGAGAGGAAATGCTCTCTAATAAGAGCTATAAGGCAAGTGTGTAATAGGATTTCCTACATAGATCAGTTAACCTGTCCTCCTTACTTTCCCCCCTTTCTAGGCGTGAGCTCCATCCCTTTGGGGTGAAAATAGCCATAATAGAGCCAGGCTTTTTCCTAACTGGCATGACCAACATCCAGACCCACCTTGATTGTATGAGGCAGCAGTGGGCCAGCACTCCACAGGAAGTCAAAGATAGCTATGGAGAGACCTATTTCAACCGCTGTGAGTCCTACTTTCTTTTGTGTGTGTGTGTGTGGAGAATAGGACTTTTTTGTTTGTTCATGGGCAGTTGATGGTGGGAAATAATGGGTTATTCCTTTATATATACATAAATCAGGATATACATCCTGCTTTCTGCCTGGTACTGGGAGACATGTTTGCTATCAGGCCTTTCTATCTGTTTTAAAGATTGGGATGTAGGGCTTGGAAAAGAAAGAAACAAACTTTGATCTAGCATCTTTTCTGGAGAAGAGTGCTTTTGTCTTCATGTTTCCTGTGCCCCATTGATTATTTCCAATTACGGTAACCACTGTAACTGCAAATCAAAAGTTTACTCCTGGGAAGGTGTAATTGCAAAAGGGAATGGGGAGCACCAAAACACTAAATTCCACTCTGCCTGAACAATCTGAAATAAAAATAAACTATACCTTCAGAAGGGCACCCCAAAAACAACACACAGACATGGATTTTGTCCCAGAAAATGTGAAGACAAACCTTGGATGGTTATAAAAATACTGGATTTTTATACTGATATAATGGATCAGTGAAGAACCAGGAACGATGGTGAAAAATGGTCCCTCAGGAGGATCCCACTGCTTCCATATCCAGAAGCAATACACTCTTAGGAAAATACTGTTAATTCTATGTTTTATATGTATTTGACAGACTAGCTTGATTTGTTTGGTGACTAGCCATTTGGAAGATAGAAAGGCTTTCTTTGCATCCTTGGTGTCGCAGGCAGGTAGCACTGAAATATCTGTGTGCTCAGAGGGATAATTTTGAAAGAGGAGGAAACAAGGACATCAGCATGAAAGTCTGCTTTGACTCTCGGTCAAGGCAGTAGTCACCTAAAAACAATTGTCCTTTTTCTCCCTGGGAAGTCCTATTTGCTTACATGTGACAGCCATCATACAATTGTCACGGAGCACCTCATGGAGGTGTTGTGAGAAAAAAAGCAGGTCTAAGAGCCATGTGTGCTTCCTGCAGCCTATTTGGGTGAGGATAGGATAGAAATGTGACAGGCTGCCAAGCAGGCAGGTAATAACTTGGGGATGTGCTGGACTTCTCCAAGTTCATAATCTCCCTTTGAAAAAAGGATATGAGTGATAATCTCTAGTTTTTGTGGTTTATTTTAAAACTATTGGTGTCCCACCCATGAAATTACACCAAAGGCTATTTCAAACTACAGATCTCCTTATGGCAATTCTTCCTTCCTTTCTCTCCCTTCCACTTGCAGGTTATCAGCTGGTGAAAGAGGACATGGTACCTCGCTGTGACACCAACCTTTACCTGGTCACTGACTGCATGGAGCATGCCTTGATCTCCAAGCATCCCCGCACGCGCTATTCTGCAGGGTGGGATTCCCAGTTCTTCTTTGTTCCTCTCTCTTACATGCCCACAGCTGTGGCGGATTTGGTGCTGACCTGGTCACAGCCCAAGCCTGCTCAGGCCATGTGAGGGTGGCGCGGAAAGGGTCGGGTTTAGAATGGGTGTGTGCATATGTGCGTGACAGGTGCCTGCCTAGCGTCAGACAGAAGCTTGTTATATCTGCTCTATCCTCATTATTCACGAGAAACCCAAGACCCATCAACCAGAGCTAGACACAAAAAGACACAAAACACTGAAGAATGAAAAGACAGGTTGTCTCTTTAGCAGAGTTTAGAGAAGTTTCTTCTGAGACTCTCATTTCCAGTTTCCCCCAGCCAGTGGCTATGCTGGTTGGGGAATCTAACAGTTGTACATATTTGAAACATGTAGCTTTCCTTTGCTCTGTTTTGGACCTAATCTGAATCGAAGGCTTGATTTTTGGTACAACTGAATGAGGCTCAGAGTCTCTGTACAGAAAAATCCATTGCTGATTATAGGGAAGGTTTTAATTAAGATTCAGATATTCATTTGGGATATATTAACATTGAAGACTGCAGTCCTGTCCCCATTGGTCTTGGAATAAGCTGCACTGAATTTAGTGGGAGAGACCTTTACTTGGCCATGCACAGGATTGCCCATTGAATTGCAAAACAGTATGTTTTACAGTAATTTTTTTCACTTGATTTATAAGCCTCATAATAGTTAAGAGTTAATAGGTTCTTCATGTGGACTTGGAACGAAGGAGAAGATATGACCTTTACTTTCTTTTAGTGATAGGAAAGATTTCAGCAGGTCCAAAATGCAGCAACTATATTGCTGACTGGAGCTGGTTAGAGGGATTGCGTAACCTCATGTTACAGCAGCTCCACTGGCCACAGATCTGTGTATAAGGCCCAATTCAAAGAGCTAGTTTAAACCTGTAAAGCCCTAAATGGCTTCAGGTCCAAGCTATCTCAAAGCTCTTGTCTCCCATTATGAGCCTCCCCAAGTGTTAAGATCATCAGGAGAGGCCTTTCAGTTTCAGCACCTTCACAGGTGCATTTGGTGGAGCCACAGAAGAAGGCCTTCTCTGTTGCTGCTCCCAGACTCCGGAACTCCCTCCCACAGGAGGCCAGCCTGGCCTCATCTTTGCTGTCCTTCCGCAAGCAGGTGAAGGCCTTTCTCTTCAGGCAGACTTTCCATCAAATATTTTCTTTCAATGAGGTATGCCGCCTTTGTATACTCATTGTTCTTGGCTTTATCTTTTGTCTCTTAATGCCTTTTAATGATGTAAGCTGCCTTGGGTCCTTTTTAAGGAAAAAGGTGAGGTAAAAAAAACTTTAAATAAAAAAATTTTCCTTTTTGGACCACAGCTCCCAAATTCTTCCACCTCCTACAATCACTGTTGGCAGGGAATACTGAGAGTTGTAGTCCAAAAGTAACTTCACCTGTCTCTGCCACCTGCTTCATGTCCTTTCCTGAAATAGTGCTTCTGAAAATCCAGAGGAAACAAAAGTGTCCCTGATTCTTACTCCTGCTCTTAATACTACAAAGGACCTGGGGCTCTTCAGCAGTCTGGCTACAGCCGCTCCCCCCAATCATTCCTGATTCTTGGCCATGCTGGGACTGAGTCTGGAGCAACAACGTCAGAGGGTCCCAAGCGCCTACCACAGGCTCTTGGGAGCCACTTCTCTTGCCCTTCATCATTGGCCAGGGTGGTCAGTGTGGATGGCAAGGGAAGTCCAGCAACACTTTTTCCTTCGTCTTGCTTGGAGTTATTCTCTCCAGTCCCAAAGGATGCAATGAAAACAGTACCCATGAAGCGTCTGCCTCAGATAGTAAAGACATGTGGTCTCTCTCCGAGGCAGTACAAGGAACCCTTCAGCGTAAGCTTTTGGTCATGGTGTTTTCGAGAGGTGTAGACCTAGAACATAAGGACTGTGTATGTGCTGTATTGAAATCAAGGTGTCCTTTTTCCTTAGCTCTGTATGCTGCTGTGAGATTCTGGGATCTTTCCACACTTATCCGATTCTAGAATCAGGGTCTTTAGCTTTTCAGATGTGATCCCAAGAGAAATTCAGCTTGAATCCACAGTTGGGGAGCGTATGCATTTGAACCAGTCAAAATCCCATGAAAGACTGTTCAAGCTTCCGGGTTCTCCATGATGCTTGATTTGTAAAGTTCCACACATTTTTGTGGTACTCTGTATGAATATATTGTCCAACTGCAGATTTTGGACTTTTATTTCTCCACAGCTATTTCCCCCATGAACCCCATGTACTAGCTGTGGCTGACTGACACCCATCCACAACACCCAAGGTGTGTGAAATGGTATCGGTTGCTGTAACTAGGGGTGGGGCTTTTGAGTTAACCTGAATAGGAACTAGTTATTTAATTTTAATTTGTTTTTATTTCTGCTCCAACCGCTTAAACAGCGTGTCTACATTAATATAATAATGTATTCTCTAACACAATTTCAAAGTCAAGTTGTTGTCAAGTGATTTTGTACCGCCGCTTGTCTTTGGGATACTGTACTGCTATTTCGTCCTTGTTTTTTAACTTGCTTGCTGGTTTTGGTGAAATTGCAATTTTCATGCCTGGCCACAAGGTGGGGCTAATGAATCCCCGGCGACTCAGTGAGAAATAAAAATGGAGAAAAGAAGTCGTGAGGAAGGTCATACGGCTGTGGTTGAGGAAATCGTTCTCTCCTCCTCAGATGTTGGAAGCTCCAGATCGGTTTTGCAGTTCCGCCCCCCCCTTCCCAAACAGGAGGAGCGGGAGTGGTTGTGGAAGGCAGACACATCGCAAGGTGCTTTACTTTGAAACAGGCATTCAAAAATACCAAATTGCTTATAAATAACTAGAATTTACATCCCTGCCAAATTAAACTACCCTTCTGCCAGCACAGTAAAATACTGTACCACGCTTTCTAAACAAAATACCGTACACATGATTCCTAAAAAGCAAACTCCTGCTTCGCTGTAAAACGTTTTGTGTAAGGCCCTGGTCACATGAGGGGAATGTTCTCTAGTTATCCCTCAGCGTTTGTTGCTTTTTTTCCTGGTCACACAACCCAGAGACATTTTTTTTCATCCAGCGGTATAACTGTGTTATTTTGTACCTTTGTTGTACTGGCTTATTCCTTTATGGGATTGCTTGTGTGCAGGACCTGCCCTGCTTATTTTCAGAATGGAAGCCAAGAAGGTGGCTGCCATTACTGCAACAGGTACATTATTTTTTAAAAAAAATCATGCCTGATACATCAATACGTTAGTAAAGGTATGCCATTGGGGGTCTTCTGCCATTACATCACTGGTGAGTCTGTCTATCTATCTATCTATCTGTCTGTCTATCTATCTATCTATCTATCTATCTATCTATCTATCTATCTATCTATCTATCTATCTATCTATCTATCTATCTATCTACAGTATATACAGTGTGTGTGTGTGTGTGTGTGTGTGTGTGTGTGTGTGTATATATACATATACACACACACATACACACACTGTATATACTGTATATACTGTATAGAGATAGATAGATAGATAGATAGATAGATAGATAGATAGATAGATAGATAGATAGATAGATAGATAGATAGATATAGGTATCTATAAACTACAGTATGGGAAGATACCTTGAAATGTTGGAATGCCGATATCACTAGGGTGTGGGGGTGATAAGCAGTACTACTGTGCAGATACTGTATCCCAAATCCATTACATTTCTGCAGGAGCAGCCATTACAACAGAGGACACTTTTCTAAACAGAACCCCCTTCCTGATCAATGTTCCCTCTAATTTCCACCCCCATGTATATAATTGCCCCCACCACGTGGAATTCCGTTGTGACTGGAACGAAAGGGTCTGAAAACGATAGCTGTGGGTGAATGGGGGAAGAAGAAAGCTGTGCGGGGGGAGAGCCAAGTGCGCTTGTGCAGTCACATATCTTAAAGAGACTTGTTTCTGATACAGTATATTGATGTATTGTTAAATATTATACATATGTATATATGTATGTGTATGTGTTTGTGTGTGTACACACATAGATAGATAGATTGATTGATTGATTGATAAATCAAAAGGCTGAATTGCACATTGAAGCAAGTGAGAAAATAAATTGGTACCACAGTGTAGCCTGCCATAACTATTCAAAGAGGAGGAAATACAGTAAATCAGTTCTGCTAAAAGTTCTGAGGGCATTCATTCTGGGATATAAACCACGTGACCATGATTCAGTACAACAGAGGTATGGAAAGTATCGGAAAAACTAGAAAACATTTCCCTCATGTGATCAGGGCCTAATTTTAAATTGTTCTTATATCTGCTCAACCCGCTTCAGGAGCGGTTTTTATACCCTTGTGGGACTGGAGGAGCTTTCATTTTCAGAGTCATTTGTGCTTTTACAGTACTGTACTGTAGAGAGGCCCTGAAATATAAACAATTCAGGATTCTGAAAGATGGGGTGACTCAAATATCATATACCATTCATATTTCCTCCGTTTGATTAATGTATGCAGAATTCCAGCAAGCAGCAGAGCGAGTCTCACCAGGGCTGTCGGTTGCCAGTTAGATTTAGTGAACATCCTGTAAAGTCGGGGTGGAGTTTGAATCTTTAAAAAGCCTAGAAAACTTGAATGACTGCTGTTTTTTTTTCTTTACACTACTTTCTTATTGGAGCAGTTTAAATAACATCAAATGTGGGTCTGATGG